AAACAATTTTCGATTTTTGGGTCCCGCCACGAAAACACAAAATCTACCGTATCTCGGTCAATTTTGTCCGAATCTCATTGAAAAATACACCATTCAAATCAGAAAATTACGGCGGTTTGAATGAGTATAATCATGCCTAGGTTTAGAAAAATTTTGATTTTCGGGTCTCCGGTTTGCTGGCAACCTGCCCACCTTTCCATTAACACTCCTATAACTTTCAGGGCATCGAATTCATCCTAATAGGAGTGTCCGGCCCCAGCCCGTGGAACTACATCTTCGTGATCCTCCTAGGCACTCAGGGCATCGATCTATTCCTAATTTTCCTCTATAGACGACAACGATTGGTGAATGAATCCAGGAAATGGAGTGCTCGAGAGGAGAAGTTGCAAAGGAAGAGACATTTTACTGCTGCTGGTCATGATGGGGAGGAAAATTGATGTTGATCTTTCCTTCTTTATGGATTTTTTTACGACGAGCTTTAACTAGAACTTTTGATCTACTTTTTTCACTTCTAGAATTGTATTTTTGAAGATAAGAGGTGTGAAATAATGAAGATTTTTAATTTCTCTTTTTTTGTTTCTTTGGTACAAAGATCGGACGAAAAATAATAAATTTTCAGACCACACCTTGGAAATTTTCATTTTTTATCAAAAATTTCCAGATAGCGGTGTCCTTTTGATGTCTGTATCCAACCAGAAATTATTATACTATGCTCCTATCCGATGAAAGGCAAAAACTCGGTTGATTTTGGTCGAAAGAGTATCAAATTTTGGGTCTCACCACGACAAAACAAAATCTACCGTATCTCGGTCAGTTTTGGTCAAATCTAGATGAAAAATACACCATTTTAATCAGCAAGTCAAGGCGGTTCGAATGAGCATAATCATGACTGGGTTTAGAAAAATTTGATTTATTGGGTCTCATCACGAAAAAATCAGTAATAGCTGAAAATGATTTTTTTGGAACCCTACTCATGATTATACTCATTCGAACCGCCTTGATTTGCTAAATCGAATGGTATATTTTTCAATAAGATTCTATCAAAATTGACCGAGATACGGCAGATTTTGTGTTTTCGTGGTGAGACCCAAAAATTATTTTCCGAAAATTTCCCGAAACCCAGTCATGATTATACTCATTCAAACCGCTAAAATTTTCTAATTCGAATAGTATACTTTTCAAAGCGTTTCGATTAAAAATGACCGAGATACAGTAGATTTTGTGTTTTCGTGGCGAGACCCAAAAATCATTTTCCAAAAATTCTCAAAACCCAGTCATGATTATACTCATTTGAACCGTCTCGACGCGCTGATTCAAATGGTATATCTTTCAAAGAGTTTCGACCAAAATTGACCAAGATACAGTAGATTTTGTGTTTTCGTGGCAAGACCCAAAATTCAAAAATTTTCAAAACCCAGTCATTATTATACTCATTCGAACCGTCTTGAATTCCTGAATCAAATGCTGTATTTTTCAATCAGATCCGATCAAAATTGACCGAGATACGGTGGTTTTTTGGTTTTCGTGGCGAGACCCAAACATCGTTTTTCAAAAATTTTCCATAACCCAGGCTTGATTATACTCATTCAAACCGTCTTGACGCACTGATTCGAATGGTATAGTTTTCATCGTGATTCGACCAAAACTGACCAAACATGACCTAACTTCCCCCCCCAACAATGAATTTTCTAGGCCACAAAGAGAGACACCCCCACAGGGGAGGGGGGAGGGGGTGTCAAAGTCTCAGAACCAAAAATGAGTTATGCAAACAATTCAACGAACGTATGACATATTCGTCAGTTGTCCTGAGAAGGAGAGGGGCGGTGGTTACGCAAATGCACATATAGAAAAATTTTATTGTGAAAACTGAGTGTGTGTGCTGACTGCTATCACTTTTTCCCATTTTCTTATCGCAAAAAAAGTTTCCCCATCATCCAATTTTTGCCTTAAAATCGAAAATCATACTGAAAACCCTTTATTTTATGCATTCTGATGTCTCAGTTTCCCTTGTTATTCCTACTGCTTCTACTGATACCCGCTACTCAAAGTGTCATTTCGTATCGATTCACGTTCAAGGAGAACAATTTGAACAATTTCTTTCAAGTTTATTTGTTGGATGTTGGCATTGATATCACTTTTACCGATGATGATTATGCACACTTTTCGACTACCGTCTTCAATGTGACTCCATTGCATTTTTCTATGTGGATTAATGGGGTTAAGTGAGTTTTTTAATGGTTTTGGGGGGTTTCTTCCTAGATTTAGAGGGGTTTTTCCTGGATTTGGACTCTTTTTGGACGGTTTTTGGACTGTTTTTGGACTTTTACTAGCAACAAAACGCATAGACTTACACGCTTTCTCGCTCGAAATTCGAATAAAAACACATAGAAAATGTTGAAAACCGTCAATACCAATCTACCGTATCTCGGTCAGTTTTGATCGAATCTTATTGAAAAATATACCATTCGAATCAGGAAGTCAAGGCAGTTCGAATGAGTATAACCATGACCGGGTTTTGAAAAAATTTGAATTTTGGGTCTCGCGACGAAAACACAAATTCTACCGTATCTCGGTCAATTTTGACCGAATTGCATTGAAAAATATACCATTCGAATCAGAAAATTACGGCGGTTCAAATGAGTATAATCATGCCTGGGTTCCGGAAAAATTTTTTCTTCGGGTATTACTGTGAGACCCCAGAATACTAAAAAAAAAATTAAGGTTAGTCGAGAGAACATTTTTCGTTTTTCTCTCAGGACAACCTCAATCAGATGCTAAACTACTAGAATTGACCAAAATTGTTGATTTTACGTAAAACTATCAGAATCACCAGTATTACCATGAAAAATTCTGTTTTTGGCCTAAATTTGATCAAAATTGGTGGAAGATATCAAAATTGGTGGAAGCTTTGGAAACTCAAAAAACATCAATTTTAAGCGATTTCAGACAGTTTTCTATGCTTTACGTCCTTAGTAAACGAGTTTAACGTTCAGAACCCACTTAATTTTGCTGTTACATTTATTGAAGCGCCCGAAAATTGGCCGAAATTCCATAAGCGCCTCAAAATTCAGTACTGGCGTTTTATGTAATTCCCTAGATATTTATTTAGTTCTAGAAAAAATATCTATTCCGAAGAACCAAAAAGTTTCCAAAATTAGTAACCTAAGCACCCTAACTTCTTCCCTTCTCCCTTAAATTGTACTTAGTCTTATCAGTTCTTGTCTCGTTGACCATTCCACCATTTCAATAAGGGTATTAGATTAGGGGAAAGGAAATGAGGGAAGAAGATTATTTGACTTTGTTTTGACTTTTGGCTGAAATTATTCAGTTTTTTTTCCAGCTGCGGAATCATCAATCTGTCATGCAAGTTCAAAATTCAGCCCAACCAATTACTCAACATTGTTATGTACAAAATTGATATGGTGAGTTTTTTTCTTTCAAAAAATTTCAAAATTCTGCAAAAACATCCTGTTTTTCCTTCTTTCTCCGGCGGCATGCTGAACTGCTCCACATCTCAAAAGTGGGCGGAGCTAGGAAAAAGTTGTACACTGCAAACTTTTTTAAAATCAAATTTGGAGCAAGTTTGCAATTGACAACTTTTTTCTAGCTCCACCCATTTTTGAGATAAAGGCCTCCCAAAAAACAATTCTTCCAGCAATCCAACCTAATCAGTTTCCTGTACCGCGGCGGCACTCAATCCCCAGACATTTTCATAAATGGCTGCTCCAAGACAATGAATGCCTTATCTTGTGCCTATGGATCCCAATATTCAACGGATACACGTGGCAATTCGTATACCGATTCGATATGTGTTTGCAGGGCGATTGTGGCGAATTGTTTATTGGTTTCGAATGATACGTGGTGGGTTTTTACATGAAAATTGAAAACGAAGGATTTTGAGAGATGCAGATGCGCTCTAATCCGAAAAATCTAGAAAAATGAGCCGTGCAAAGTCAAAAAATCGTGGAAAAAAGGTGATTTTCAGCATCAGAAACCGAAAACCGAAAAAAATTTTTTCGTCGAAAAAAATTCGAAAAAACATCGAAAAAATCCGAAAATTCCAGAAATCCCGAAAATTCCGAAAATTCTGAAAATTCTAAAAAATCCGAAAATTCTGAAAATTCTGAAAATTCAGAAAATTCCGAAATTTCCGAAATTTTCGAAAATTCCGAAAATTCTGAAAATTCCGAAAAATCATTTTTCGATTTTATCGCCCTGAAAAAAATTTTTTCGAACTTTTTTTTCGCACAGCCCTTATGCAGATGCGCTCCAATCCGAAAAAATATAAAAAAATCTAGTGAAATGAGCCGTGCAAACTGAAAAAAGGAAATTTCCAGCATCAGCAACCGCCCATTCTGGAACTACAACCCATCGGAGGACACTACAACTCAGGAGCCTACCACTACCAGGTTGATCACCACGGTACCCATCACCACCACGAAGGGGTCCACCACTAGGGAGCCCACTACAGTACCAACCACCACCAAGAAGGTGTTCACCACGAAGGGGTTCACTACGGTACCCACCACCACCATCACGACCACTACGACATCACCAACTACGGTAGCAACCACTACAGTACCCCGGACTACTGTACTGACCACCACAACGCTTGCTACCACCACCACCATCACCACAACCACTACAGTAACCACACCAACCACACCAACAACAGCTACAAGCACCACGAGCAGCCCAACTACGTGTGATAGTTATCCCATGCAAGATTAACCATGAAAAATCAATAAAATCGTTATAGGACCGTGACGAATTCGACGAAATCACCTTCAACGTCAACGACGACCCCATCCCCTCCACCTCCGACGACCACTACGACACCGGACATGTTTGTGCCGACGCTGAAAAATTTGAGTGATGTTAGTAATTTAACGAATTAATCGGATTACTTATTGAGTGTTAGGTGTGGCAGTAGTGTTTTTATGAAGGCGGAAGTGATTAGGGTGATTAGGAATAGGTTAGAAAAAAAGAAAAAAAAGTTTTGCACCCCTTGGGAATCGAACCCGCGTTGAGAAATTGGAAAACAACGGTGTTAGCCACTACACCACACGCGCAGCAGAGGAAGAGCGGAGAGAGGGCATAGAGGAGACTGCGGCGTTCCCCTTTTGTCGCGGGGATCTTTTGTCTATCAGAACATCCAGAATTGGATAAGAAGCGACTAAGATTATTGATTTTTTTTGGAAAATTTCTAATTTTTCATAAAATTGTTCTGAAAAATGCTTTAGAAACTCTAAAAACGTCCGTTTTGAGCGAAAAAAAGCGCGGTTTGTATGTTTTTGTCGTAGGAACCTTCAAAAACCACGGAAATCCGGAAAAATGAGCAAATTGCCGAGAAAATCTCTAATTTTCATGTAGTGTAACCAAATGTGATAGAAAACAGCTCTAGAAACTCGAAAACTCCCGATTTTGAGCAAGAAAAATGCGCAATTTCTATGTTTTGTCCTGAAAACGTTCAAAAACCACTGAAATCCGGAATAAATCAGCAAAAATCATGATTCAATGGGAAACAGCTCTGGAAACTTAAAAAACCTTGATTCTGAGCAAAAAATCGCTCTATTCACATGTTTTTGACGCTAGTTCATCATCAAATTGGCCTAAAACGACTGAAATCCGGAAAAAATTAGCAAACGCTAAGAAAATCTCTGAATTTCGATGTAAATGGCTCAAATTTTATAGAAAACAGCTCTGAAAACTCTAAAAACGTCAATTTCGAGCCAGGAAACGCCCGATTCAGTCGTTTTTGACGTTAGTACGTTAGAAGAACTCTCAAAAACGACTGAAATCCGGGAAAAAATGAGCAAAACACCGGGGTTTATTGGGAAAACAGCTCTGGAACCATCAAAAACGTTACTTTCGAGCAAAAAAACGCTCTTTTGATATGTTTTTTGTCGGAGGAACGCTCAAAAATGACTGAACTACGGGAAAAATGAGCAAATCGCCGAGGAAATCTCTAATTTTCGCTGTAAATGAACCGAATTTAAGAGGAAATAGCTTTGGAAACTCTAAAAACCTCAATTCTGAGCAAGGAATCGCTCGAATTAGTCGTGTTTGCCATCATTACGTTGGCAAAACGATCATAAACGCCTGAAATCCGGAAAAAATGAGCAAAACACCGGGATTTAATGGAAAACAGCTCTGGAAACTCTAAAAACCTCAATTTCGAGCAAGAAATCGCTCGATTCGCATGATTTGTCGTCAATATCTTCAAAAACCACTTCAGATTTGTCAAAATCCGGAGAAAATGAGCAAATCCCCGAGAAAATCTCTAATTTTTATGTAGTTTAACCAAATTTGATAGAAAACAGCTCTGCAAACTCGAAGAACATCAATTTTGAGCAAAAATCGCTCTATTCATATATTTTAGACGTCAGCACGTTAGCAAAACGTTCAAAACCGACTGAAATCGGGAAAAAATGAGCAAAACCCGGAGAAAATGACTTGTTTTCATCGGATTCTAAGATTAGGTACAGCAAATAAGCGAATTTCCCATTTTTCGACGGGTCCACCACATTGGATTCGAATTCTTAGTAGAAAAAAGCCAAAGTGCAGTAGAGCGAATTTTCCAGAGCGGTGTCGGCCCCAACAACGTGTCCACAGTGCTCAATGAGACCCTAGTCTACTCAAAAATCGGTCCGGACCTCAATGCCACCCAAGTGATGGAGATCTCCACCATCCTCATCAACGCCGCCAACGTTCCCGGATTGAAAGCCGAGGTGAGGTATGTTAGGACGGAAATCAACGATTCTCAACGTCTAACCTCTTCAGAATTCCATGGCAATCCTCCAAAACTTGGACAACATGCTCTATGTGAACCCGAGTACAATGTATCAAAGTGGAAATTCGGCGCAGAGGGTCTTGGACTGTCTGGGGACTATGGTGGATAACACAATGGATCCGCGGATCGAGTACCTTGACGGGACGAATCTAGGGTTTAGCTCCAAGAAAATAGACTGTTCAAAGTTGGGACAGGACGATGGGCTGCTGGATTTGGGGAATCGATTTGAGTTGATTAATTCGACAGACTCCTTGGGCAAGTGGCACTCGATAGTGGTGCCGTTGGCGGATTTGTGTAGCACTCAGGATTGTAGGTTTTGGAAAATTTTGATTTTTGGGTCCCGCCATGAAAACGCAAAATCTACCGTATCTCGGTCAATTTTGATCGAATCTCATTGAAAAATATACCATTTGAACCAGCAAGTCGAGCGGGTTCGAATGAGTATAACCATGCCTGGGTTTCGAAAATTTTCGATTTTTGGGTCTCACCACGAAATTACAAACTCTACCGTATCTCGGTCAGTTTTGATCGAATCTCATTGAAAAATATACCATTCGAATCAGAAAATTACGACGGTTCAAATGTGTATGATCATGACTAGGTTTTGGAAATTTTTGATTTTTGGGTCCCACCACGAAAACACAAAATCTATCGTATCCCGGTCAATTTTGATCGAATCTCATTGAAAAATATACCATTCGAATCAGAAAATTACGACGGTTCGAATGAGTATAATCATGACTAAGTTTTGGAAAATTTTGAATTTTGGGTCTCACCACGAAAACACAAAATCTACCGTAACTCGGTCAATTTTGATCGAATCTCATTGAAAAATATACCATTCGAATCAGAAAATTACTACGGTTCGAATGTGTATAATCACGACTAGGGTTATAAAAAAGTAAATTTTCGAAAAAAAAACCAATTACAGTATCCCACGTGTTCTTCACCATCTACCGGGACACCTCCCTATTCGTGGGGCAGCAACAATACAGAAGTTATACCGGGACGAATCTTCCCATTTCATCAGGAAAGGCGGAAACATACACCCCGCCACCGAGATTCGCAATGGATGCCGGATTTTTTAGGAGCTTTTGGGTGGATACGGTTGGAGCTGAGGGGGAGGGTCTAGAGATGAATGTTACTAGTCGTGAGTTGGAGAACAAGGGTTCATATGTGATAGACCAAAGCTGTGCAAAAAAAAAATTCCGGAAAAATCGAAAAAAAAAATTTTTTTTCGAAAATTATTTTTTTCGAAAATTTTTTTTCGAAATTTCAGTTTTTTTTCAGTAAAAATTGGATAAAAAGGCGGTGCAAGCATGAAAATATACAACTAAAAAACCGTTTTTATCGATATTTTTTCGGGTTTTTATGGAAAAAAAAATTTTTTTTTGACCCCGCCCCTTTTCCAGCGGGCCACGCCCCCTTCAGCCTCAACTTTTTTCCCCGAAAAGCTATCGATGTCTACTTTCTGGGAATCGATAGAAAGCACTTTTAGAAGCATTTTCACAGCTGGAACCAACTTTCTAACTCTGCTCCTTCGTGCTGAAAATTTTGAAAAAAAAATTTTTTTTTTTGAAAATTTTCAATTTTTTGAATTGCTCCGAAAATTTTTCTACAAAGTCACGCGAGATAATGTCATATTCGTGTTCTGAAATTTTCAGCATAAAGGAGCAGAGCTATAAACTTGGTTCAAACTGTAAAAGTGCTTCTAAAAGTGCCTTCTATCGATTCCCAAATAGAGACATCGATAGCTTTTCGGGGAAAAAAGTTGACTTTTCGGCTGAAAGGGGGCGTGGCTTGCTGAATAAGGGGCGGAGTCAAAAATAAAAGGCACCATCGTGTTCAGGGGGTTTTCTACACCCAATGCACAACTTTTCAGCTGATTCTGAAAAATTAGATCCGGGCGGAATAACAAGGCATGTTTTGCGGTGCCTTAGCACTTCTAGGCACGTTCGCCGCCGAGCTAGTGAGCAGTTTGCGCGCAGCGCGCTTAGTTCGGCGGAAATTCAAATTTCCCTCGTGTCCCCTAGTTCACTTATTGGAAAACAGCGCGTTGAGAGCTTCAAATGAGTATAATCATGGCAGAGTTTTGAAATTTTTTGATTTTTTGGGTCTCACCACGAAAACAGAAAATCTACCGTATCTTGGTCAATTTTGATCGAATTTTATTGAAAGATATACCATTCAAATCAGGAAGTCAAGGCGATTCAAATAGATATAATCATGACTGGGTTTTGAAAAATTTTGATTTTTGGGTCCTACCACGAAAACACAAAATCTACCGTATCTCGGTCAATTTTGATCGAAACTCATTGAAAAACATACCATTCGAATCAGAAAATCAAGGCGGTTCGAATGAGTATAATCATGATCAGGTTTTGAAATTTTTGAATTTTCCAGAAACGGTCCCGCTAACCCCTTGCGATCGTCAAACTTCTCTTCCCCCGACCCCTGTGATGAGTGCCACCGTCCTTAACAACGGTGTAGCCGTATCCGTCTCGGACACCTCCGAAGCCACCATGGCCATTCTTCGATTCAACATTTCTACGTTACTAAGACCCCTTCACGGCAATTTCAAAGTCACTTGGTGGGATGTCGGAAGACGAATGTGGGCGGAGAATCGACAATGTGAGATTTTATCGATTTCCGATGGGATTCTAGAGGCCAAATGTCTACATTTGACGGATTTCGCTATTATTGTGGTGGGAATTTCCCAAAAATTGGTTTTTTGACTTCTAGAAATTCCAGGACGCCGCTCTAAACGACCCTAACGTCTGTGACAATGCTCTGATCACCTTGGGTTATGTGGTCAATGGATTATCGATTTTTTCTTTGGTTTTTCTCACTTTTTTCAGTATTGCTGCTTAGTAAGTCACCACAAAAACCCTTACCCATCATATCTCGGTCAGTTTTGATCGAATCTCATTGATAAATATATCATTCAAATCACCTCGTCAGGGCGGTTCGGATGAGTATAATCATGGCAGGGTTTTGAAATTTTTTGATTTTTTGGGTCCCGCCACGAAAACACAAAACCTGGCGTATCTTGGTCAATTTTGCTCGAATCCGACCGATAAATATACCATTCGAATCAGAAAATCAAGACGGTTCGAATAAGTATAATCTTGACTAGGTTACAAAAATTTTTGATTTTTGGGTCCCGCCACGAAAACACAAAATCTCCCGTATATCGGTCAATTTTTCCCGGATATCCTTGAAAAATACAGCATTCGAATCAGCTCGTCAAGGCGGTTCGAATTAGTATAATCATGACTA